TCTAGAATGACTAGCATAACTTTCCTTTGACTAGCCGAAATCATTGCGAGTGCGTCATCCGCTTTACTTCGAGAAGCACTCGCATAACTTTCCTGACTATTGGGCATATTTCCAAGTCCCACATTCGCATTATTTCGGGAGGCACTCTCATAAGGTTCCCTCGACCACTGATAATATTCCGAATTCCGACGGCCGATACGGTTCACTATTGAATTGAATAACGTTTCCTCTTCTGGTCAGAATGTTCTCAATACCATCTATCGTTTTGTTTCGAAAAGTACTCGCATAACATTCCATCGACACATCGAGTTATCTCAAAGTCAGGTGTCGCATTATTTTACAAGATACTCGCGGAATTTTCTCTCGAGTAGTTGAAATATATCTAAGACCGACATCCGCTATGCTTCGAGAGGAACGCGAATAACTTTCCTACGACTAGTAGTAATATTGCCAAGGCTGACTCTCGTATTTGTTCGAGAGGCACTCACATAACTGTCCCGGAGTAGTTGGAAATTTATCATGTGCAGCTGTCGCTTCGTTTCGATAATCACTTGTACAACTCTCCCTCGACTATTCGGGATATTTCTAAGTCAGACAGTAGCATAGTTTCAAATATAACTTGTATAACTTTCCCCAACTAGTCCAAATAATACAAATCCGACAAACCTATTGGTCGGAGAGGCACTCTCATATAATGACCTTCAACAGTAGTAATATTTTCAAGACCGACAGCCGCATTATGTCTAGAGTTACATGCATAACATTCCTACGCTTAGTCGGTATATATCCAAGTCCGATGGAAGCATTGGTTCGAGAGACACTCGAATAACTTTCCATCAATTTACCGGAGTATCAATATTTCAAACAGATTCTTTGGAGGACAGTTCACTCACATACCTCGACCTCGTATAATTGGAATGTTTCCAAGTATGTCAATCGCATTCGATCACATTCCACTTGTATAACTTGCCCTGGACTAAATAATATTTTTCGATGTCCAAGGGTGGTATTGGTTCTAGAGGCACTTGCTTTACTTTCCCCCTTCATGATTGAATATTTCTGAGTCCGACTGTTATAACGGATCATATGTCATTTGCATAAATTTCCCCTGTGTAGTTGAAATATTTCCAAGTTAGACAGTCGCATTGGTTCACAAGTTGCTCGCATAATTTTCTATCGGGTACTCTGGAAATTTCCATGTCAAATATCCATATGGGTGGGTTCAAGAGTCACTTTCATAATTTTCCATCGACTAGCCTGAACATTTTCGGGTTAAACGGCCGCTTTGGTTCGAGAGGCAATCACATGACATAGACTCGGCAAGTCGAAATATTCGCAAGTCAGACAGCCATACTTGTTAGAGAGGCACTTGCATAACTTTACCCCGAACAGACGCAATATATAAAATTCCGACAGATGCTTTGGCTCGAGAAGCACTCACATATCTTTGCATAGATTTGTCATAATATGTGCATGTCCGACTGTCGCATTGGATCACAATACACGCATGAAATTTCATGGATTATTTGGTATATTTCCGGTTCCTACAGGAGTGTTGGTTCGAATGGTTCTTATATATCTTTCACTCCTATAGTCGGAATAATTCGTAGCTCGACGGTCGCTTTGGTTCATATGTTACTCGCATAACACTCCCTCGTCTGAATGGAATTTTTCCAAGACCCACAGCTACATCGATCCCATAGTCACTCGTATAAATTTCCCGAGACAAGTCTGAATATTTTCAAGTTCAACAGTCGGTGTGTTTCAGAAGTGTCTCGCATAACTTTTGTTGGTCAAGTCCGAATACCTCCAAATCATCCAGTTGCATTGCTTCTAGTGCCACATGCATATGAGTCCCTCTACTATGTGGAATATTTCTAAGTCCGACAATATTAGAGTTTCGTGAGGCACTCGAATAAATGTCCCTCGCCTATTCGTAATGTTTCCAAGGCCGACAGCAGCATTGTTTCACAACTCACTCGCAAAATTTCTCCGGCAAGTTGTAATGATTCCATATCAGGCAACTGCATTTGTTCGAGAGTCACTCGCATAACATTCCTTCGACAAGTATGTATATTTCCAAGTCAGACAGTCGCATTCGATAAAAAGATACTCGCATTTTATTCGATTGAATACTCGGAAAGTTTCAAAGAACGACAGCCGCATTGGTTTGAAAAGCAATTGCTTATCTCGAACCAGAGTTCTTTAGTGGCAGTGTTATCAACTAATGGGCTTTTGAGGAAAAAACCTAGTGACCTCTACTAGTAGCACTTAAGTCTATCTTGGAGTGGAGAAGAACGCGTTCTCAAAGATCTTTGGTAAGAATACTTTAAGTTCTAGTGTTAAGAAAATCGAGGGAGACGTATAAACCTTTGCTTTCTTTAAGGTACTTAGGTGAAAGGACTTAGAGAAGAGGAGAAAGTTCATGTGATAACGAACTTTGCCTGAAACGTTTATGTTTACTCTCAGGAGGAAAAAAGAGAATTTTTTTCACATTACATGGCGGGTGCACCATGAATAAGACTTAAAGAGAGGGTAGGGTATGAACAATGCCCTCCAACAGAGAACTTGAGTAAGATGATGATAGAAAGAAGTGGGAACAAAACCAAGGACGATATGCTCACGTGTTTTAATGAAAAGTCTTGTGTGACAGGACATAAAAGAAAAGGGATTAGAGAAAGAGAACATCAGTGAATTGTATCATTGTACTTTATTGGGACAACTTTAAGTGAAGGTGCTCGAGAGCAGGAAAGAAAACATTCTAGCATGATAAGTGATGAAGTTACCTTAGGTGGAGCTACTAATAAAAAAAATGAAACAATTAATCAATAATTTTCCATAGGGATACTTAGCTACGAGACTATGGGAAAAGGATATTCATTTGGTCATTGTTCCACGGTTAGAATACGTTGTAGAGAAAGGTGCATGGAAAGGATAAAAAACATATTTCCTACGTGCTCTAGTAATTGAGTTTGGGTAAGAGGGTCTAGAGAAGGAAGGTGTAGTCACAAGTTACCATGATCTGAGTGCTTTACCAAGGCTCTCCATGTGAGAGGGTTTAAAGTGGCCAGATGGAGCAGACAATCAAGTTAATTTAGTAGGTGCTCTAGAGAAGCACTTAAGGGAAGAATAAAAGCATAGTTAGTGTCATTGTAAAACTATTTTAGGCAACCTAAGCTAAGCAGGGAAAATGCGAAAAGAGCATCTCAATTAGAATAGATGAAGTGCGGAGTCCAGCAAGGAGCTTTCATGTGGAAGCGTTGGAGTGAGGAGCATAACCTACAACGTATATTCGGTATGCTTCAGTGAGTGTGACTTATTTGTTTCATATGTAGATAGATCTTATAGGGTTGGAAAGAGATCATTTAGCTGAGGTCTTTAGTTTGACCATCATAAGTGAGAGGAATTTATTGTTGGAAGGAACATATCATCGAGGTATTCTGAAGGTGCTAAGGAGTCAAGGATGGAAGGGAGAACATTTCCTAGCGAAATGTGATCCAGGTTTTTGTCATGTTGCCTTTAATGACAGGACATGGGAGATCGGTAATAATGGGTAGGAATGATCAAGGTGTCCTTGTAAACGAACTTTAGTGGAGGGGACTTGGGTAAGGATGGAGAACATAATTAATCTGATCTACGCGTCCTAATAACGGTTTCCCAATAGAACGCCTTTTATTTTTAAAAATTTATTTATTTATTGATTATTCATTGTTAGGTATCTGGTCATGCAGAGTACACCACCATCAGCTTGGAAGAGCTTCATTATGGCTCTATTATCTCAGTTCCGTACTTAGAGCAGCTTGAAAGTTCGATTTTCGGATAACGGAAAATATAATTACTTTTCCAGGGTGACAAGGAATGTGAAACCAAGACCGGTCCAAGTACGTTTCTCTCGCTTCTTGTTTTTAAGGTTAGGAGTGAGCATGAGTGCGTAAAATCGGTTAATGTATAATGTGTACTCGTACCACTACTATTTTTCTTCCCCAGTCCGCCAACCTATAGCAGCGCAGCATGAGTCTAGTTGCAAAACCAGTTCCGTCTTGCAGTTTAGATCGCCAGGTGGCTCCACATTAGTTCATAAACATGAATGACATACACTTCCGAGTAAATGATCATATCCTCCGCGAAGTAAAGTAGCACACTTTTCATTAATTATGCACTAGGTAAACAATCACCACTATTGATTTATATATCTTTTAGGTCCCTTCAATTTGAATAATTATTTGTTATGAAACATTCACCGGCAAGCAGCGTGGACTGGAGAATTCTGACAAAAACGGGAAAGCTCGGTGATGCATCATTCCCGTATCACAGCCATGATGGAACTCGCCCAAACCGGACACTCAAGTTTATCCGTGCACGTCTTGGACAAATGGCCCGTCTGACCACAGATATAGCATAGGACTATCTTAGCGCTTGTAGCCGGGCACATTGACTAAACATGCCTTTGCGCATGGCACCGGTCGGGCCGCTGCCTGCGTCTATACACCCTCACTGATGACCACATCACGCTTATTCTTCCCATCTCACGGGCCGCCCGGATGAGGGACACCGGGGCCGAGACCGAGGTTTGCCAAGTCTACCATGCCAAACCTAATCTCTCCTACCTTAATAAGGTTGGGGTTGTTTGATTGCATCTCCTGCTGCACGTTCCAGATGACGGCCCCGCTAACGGCCGCATCCAGTCCCACCAAACTTATGGTGCTCATGCGTAGGGACGCACTTCAGGAACGGCACTCCTCAATGCCTCCGCCACCCGGTCGGCCTTCTCGTTTGTTTCCCTGATTCGTACCTGCCATATAAAAGCACCCGTGAAGTCTATTCTACTCGGCATGCTATCGATTCCCAGGTTTTTAAGGTTGATTCCCTCCATGGCACGCAATGTTGCATCACTGTACGTCGTTTCCTCGATACAGGATATGGGAATTGCAGCCACTTCTCTTTCCCTTTGCATCATCTTCTTCCATCGTTGCGCACGGCTACACCCCATCGTTCATTTCCTATGGGGCGCCTGACACCGCAAGGGTTGATGGTCGTTGAATACATGCTTTTATGTAGCCAGGGAGAGTGCTTTTGCTTCCCTCCTCTGGTCCCGCGTCTTCTTTCGGCCGTGCACCTGCACAAAATCATAGTTAGGGGTTAGTAACCTAACTGTACTTTCCTGCTTCGTAGTGGGGCTAGTGGACTCACCACGGAGTGTGGGGCCCTTGTGTCGTCCACCAATCACAGTCGCTGCTCCACTCAACGTCTGATGCCGCTGTTGTTGCTGCTGTTGTTGTCTCTGCGGCTGCTGCTGACGCTGTTGCCGTTCCCGCTGCTGTTGTTGGTGCAGCTGTTGCAGTACTTGTTGCAGCTGGTGAACTTGCTGCAGCTGTTGCTGTACACTGCGGAAAGCCTCCGCCAGTGCCCTCACCGACCAGTCTGAGTGGATTGCGTCCGGGGAACCTTCATTGTTTTTCGCTATCAAGGGAGTCTCCCTCTTCCTAATTACCATCTATTTTTTGCAAAGATAACAAAAATAATGAATTAATTTTAATTATATCATAATCTTCATTTATGATTGATATTCTTTTTCGAGAATAAGAGAGTTATCTGAGCCATTGTCTAACGTCTCGAAAGATACCTGATTTCGATTACATGATTCTGCATAGTCATAGCATGTTTCTTTTTCGATATTATCTATAGGTACCGAGGATTTATTACATGTTTCTTTCTCTAAACAGGACTATAGATCATTTGAATCATATCATCTGAACAAATTTTCTAAATCTGCAGCATACGCACGATTACAGTACAACGATTCGCTGGAAAAACTATCATTTGATTTACGAACGGATAACATCTTTTTTGCTTCCGATTTCTCCATAATGGTTCGGCATTTATGTTCCCGTCTTATACAATATTTTATTAGTGTATTTTACTAATTTTAATTAGGTTAATTTTAGTGTTGCTTCTTTGAAAAAATTTAACCAGATAAATGATTCCATGTCTATCGTAAATTTCCGATTGTATAAATAAAGTCGAAAATAATGTACATCATAAACAATCGACAAAAATTTTCTATTTATTATGAAATAACACTTCTCTGCTCTGTTATATAATTTCGAACATTACCAATTTGGAAGGTCTTTCCTTATAGACCCAGGAATTAAACTATTCCAATGGCATGTAGTGACCCATCACGAATTTTATATATTTGCATATGCTCAGGTCATTAAGCCATTTAATTGCTCTTGAATTCTGGGATCGAAGTATATACTCGATTTAGCGTTGATCTTAACTGTATTTACCTCGTTCATTCTACAACCAACATTATTTTCTCGATGAAACTCGCGCATACACGGCGCCAAAACTTATTTAACTTCCATCTGGAAAGTCGTTTGGTTGATGTTGCGGTTGTCAATAGCAAATAACGCGTGCTAATTCCGAATGCATATGTAAATTCTATCGTGGAAAGAAAGTCATTGCAGGCTATTAAAAAAAAGATAGATTAAGAGTAGAAGGATATAGAAAAGAAGGTAAGGAGAGAAAAAGCGCATAACAGCAAACACTGTCATATGGTAAAATCATTTATGGTAAAGTCATTGGAAGCGAAAAAAGCTCGTTTCTCATTTCGACATTTGCTTTTGCGTAACGAATTAAAGCCGGTGAATGGTAGTATATAAAGGAAGTATATACTTCAACGATGATTTCTATGATAATGAGATCTATCCCATTGTTCGTTAACTCATCGTAGATACTAGTGAGCGTATACCTAATGACGAATATGCCTACATATGCATGAAATGAATTTGCGGCACTCGTGACTATTAAATTCCTCTATTAAGATGAATGTAATGATTCGCAAACATAACACGAATCTACCAGTAAACGAAAGCTTTCAGAAGATGATAATAAAAAAAGCCATTTTCCATTTTTATGTTCGCAATCGTAAATGGCTCAACAGGTAAATAATAGTTTTCAAGAATTCTATATAGACAATATAGATTGCATATTAAGTAGATTTTTATGAAGATGGGTTAAAATGTACTTTATCTTACTGAGAAGTATATGATCGAAAAATAGTCGCAATATCGTGCTGATAGGCAAAATAATATTGCCAACGATCAGTTGTTTTCTGCAATAGGTTTGGAAAAATTAGTAAGATCCTGTGCAATTTTAGAATGACAGAAAGAAGGAAGGAGAAAGAGAGATAGAGAGAGAGTGTGAAAGATACTACTTTGTTCGGCCTGGAATAAACTAAGAAAATTGACGATGAGCATAGAGAAATAAAAGAAAGAGAATGGATTCGATTGTACACAAATAGATCCTATTTTGCACCTTTCTTATGCGAAGGGCTAGTACATTATTTCGGTGAAAAAATAACGATGAGATAACTATCCAATAAAAGTTACAAAGCCAAAAAGAAAAAGCAAGAAAAAGTTAGGGTAACCGCATGCACATTGAATGCTCATCCCACAGTTACTGTGTAGTTATGTCATTCTAATAAAGCTTAAAATAAGTAATACAGGATTATCTATCGTGATAGGTTACATATTGGCCGTATCGAGAATAATTCGCAAAAGATAAAGAAAGGAAAAGTAATTAGTTATATCGAGATCTTGGCCAGAGGTGGAAATTACAAGTAATTAACAATGAGAATCTACGATATCCTAAAGCTTTCTCTCTAGCTCTAAATTCTCCTTTTTTATTCGGCACTTCCTTCGCATTTATTCGATTCGTGGCAATACTTTACGTTTCCAAGCCACATTAAAAGATGCAAGAACAAACTGCGCTAATCTAACAAAAGAAAAGTCGGTTTTATTACCGCTAGTCATGTGGAAAATGAATGTAGTGCTGCTCATACTACTAAAATGCTAACGACACTATTACTTTCTTCCAAAGACGAGCGTTGAGTCAAAGTCAAAAAATTGAAAATCGACTGGTGAGATCTTTAAGAATATACGGATTACTCTGTGTTTCTGTTTAATACACATACTGTGCATCTCATGGGAAAGTAATTAATTGCGCGATGTCCTGAATACATTTTCTCCCTCCTTACTGCCGGAATGTTTCATCTTCGTTTTTGTATATTGCGTATCGTTTTCGTAGGGACTAAAAGGAATACATGTTCATGCACGCGTCTGATCATCATTGAACGAAAATTTATCGCCTACTACGTTTTCATTAAGCGGTGATGTATTATAGAAACGCATGGGTATAGAGACGCAAAAAAAGGAAAGAGAGAGAAGGAGAAGGAAAGAGAGAGATTATTTACGTGCCGCTTTTGAAAAAGTGTATGCACTTAATAGTAAGTTTAAATTTAATTACTTTTAATAGGTATCCAATAGGTCTATTAGGTAACAATTTCTCAATTTTATTAAGGAATATTTCCATTCACATAACAGTTTCTGAATGTTTCTATAATAAATTCTTCTTCATTAGTTTTAATTGTTGTCTCCCCTTTTTACTATTTTCAGCAATTATGCAAATACAAGATAAAAATGAAAAGATAAATAAAAAAGAAAGGAATATACAAGATGAGATAGTTGTGTTCTGAGCTATACCAATAATGAAAGTAACAATGTTAAATTCTAGGATCGATAGCCACATCTGTAATATTTTTACTCTCTTTCTCACAATCATCTGCTCGCACGAATATAGAAAATTTGATTTTCCGTACTTTTCATTTCTGTTCAAACTATCTGTTCCTCCATCTATCTATCCATCTAATGATTCATCCATCTCTCTCGTTTAGGTTAGCTTGAAAGAGAAGGGAAGAATGGCCGATACGTTCTTCTTAAATTCTAGGTGGCACCCCGTGACTTCTGAATTAAGCCATATCATACGGTGTACTCCGTCAGGTACTTCTCGTGTACCTGAATTCATGATTAACCAGAACCCTGCAATCTTACTTATACGTGCATGATTTGTATACCGACCTTCTCTGTTTTACTCCTCCCAGCATCCAAAAAGCTATGTGAGAAATTGAGGGTTAGAAAGATAAAGATAGGGTAGGAAGCGATGGAGGAGAAAGATGGTAAGAAAATACTACTCGACGTATTCTCCTCTAATGGCAACAACAAATTTCATTAGCGAAAAGTAATTATATTTTTGAGTTGGGAAGTGAAGTACCTACGTTTATTTCAAATAAGAGATTGAAATTTGCGAATTAATCTATAGGCATGGCGAATAAAATCATCATCGCTTATAATAGATAATTTAACAAATGTCATTACGAGGGAATATTATTTATCTGAACGTTTGCGTGCAACGTTGACAGTATTGTTTATTGTAGTTGGAATATATGTTCAATAAACGTTTCTGTATCCATTTACTTCAAGTCCTTGCATTCTCCTAATTCTATGTTTTCACTAATGAAATTTCTATCGACATTTATACTCTTCTATAGACTTTCTTTCGAATATATTACATTCTATTTGTAATACTAAATAGCAACTTAGAATGAAATAATCAAACCACCTAGCAAGATATATAAATGTCAAACTGAGCAATATAGCATGCTATATAGTATGTAAATGAAGGATAGTATGTAAAAGGTATATAATAAAATAATTCTAGTCGCACATTTATCAAAAATATTAACTTATACTCGAATGAGAGAGAATAGCAATATAATCAATAATTAATGACTTTCCACATTCTCTAGATAACAACGAAATGTATTCGACTGATCTTTTAGGAAGTCTTCTTACATTTGAAATTGTTACAACAATCCGACAACATCATTCGTCCCTGAATTGATCTTCTCGATTTTACCAAGAGCCCAATTGAGTACTGATAATTTATTTTGTATCAATAGTACAAATTAGCCTACTATTTTAAGATTCTCATCCATGAATCTGGATATTTTATTAAATTCAGTCTGATTAAATATAGTTAAAATACTTCTATCTCATCGCATGTATTTTTAATATTATTCTCACATTATATAATATCGTTAAAATATAATATTATATAATCCTTGAACTTTTATTGTGCATCTTAATTAATGAGTATAAATGGTATTTTGTATCATATAATAAATTTCTACTTTGTTTGTTAATTGCAACATTACATCTCAGTATTTCCTTTCAATACATTGCACGTTGTAAGTTGTCGATAAATTCAGAAATATATTTCTAGAAGCTAAATATGTTCACGTTTTTTGCGGGAAAAGGATTATTTCTGTTTTTAGGAAAGAAAAGAATTTTCTATATTTCCTTTTATTTATTTCGCTAAAAAAGTGGAAATTAAAAGTAAATAATAAAAGAATAAACGATGCCAATATAACATACGTTAAAAAAGATTAACATTATGCTCCATTATGAGTAATAAATTCTAATATATAAATATATACATTCGTCTATTATTTAGAAACGATTTACCTTCTTGCGCAGATAAGTATTATACTTATGCCTGTGAAATTTCAATAAACATATGATGAACATGTATTTAATCGTATAGTAAAATTATATTTCTTTTGTTACTCAATATTCTCTCTTACGAAATTTTTGCCGTGTTTTTTGCTGGATTCTTTCAGCAATGATTACAATTACTTAGATATTTATACTATTCTCCATTCACTTACAGAATTTGGGAAAGCGAAGCGATTTGATTGTTTTGATTATATTTAGTACACGCAATATGAAATGATATAAATAAATTTATTTTTCGAAAAGCTTATAAGATATATGGAAATTTGTTTCACTCTGAAATAAAAGAAAACAACGATTGCCATAATTTTAAAGGAAATATATTAGTTTATATATCTATAGTAATATTTTAGCATATAAATGAACCAGTTACTTTCACTTAAAACTAATTAACATAGAATAACTATAATATTGCTTCCATAAAGTATTGGAATGTAAGTTTAAAACATAA